CTCCGAAGTGTTCTGAAGGACAGTTTGGAAAGAGCAAAAAAGACTACAACTCCATGAATCCCAATAGAATGAATCCACCAGGCGAAGCAAACAAACAGAGGAGGTGGGAAACGGAGCCAACAACAGGCAAATAACATGACAACGATAAGTCAATACATCTCGGTTATAACCGTCAATGTTAATGGTCTCAATTCACCCATCAAAAGAAACAGATTGACAGAGTGGACCAAGAAAAAGATTCGACAATGTGCTGCATACAAGAAACACATTTAATTCAAAAAGAAATTCATAGATGAAAAGTCAAAAGATGGAAAAATAATACTCCACAGGAACCTGGAAAAGAGCAGAGGTAGCTATTCCATTTGCAGACAAAGTGAATTTCAAGCCAAGACGGATTAGAAGAGACAAGAAGGTCACTACATCCTTCCAAGAGGAAGACAGAAACACTGCAGACTTTCAACAGGGGAAAAGAGGATCAGAAGGAAGTCCTGTGATGGAAAGATACTGCAACTAAGGCTTCCACTCCAGGACTCTGAGCCTTTGCTTTCCTTAATCCTTGTTGCTCTTCTGCTCAAACACCTCCCATGGCTCCCACCGTCAGCATGGGGCCCTGAGCTCAGCCAGTGGCAGTCAGGGTCTTGGGATCAGAGACACCAGCCCTCCTGCTCCACCGTCACGCCCACCCATGGCTCCCCAGCTACCCCTGCTGGCGCTCACTGAGACTCAGGCACAGGTGACAGCACAGTTTATTCCAGGGTCTGCAAACGAGGGTGGGGTTAGCTGGATTCCTGGTCAGGCCTTGGGGCTCCCTGCGCCCCGGCGCTCAGCGGCTCCAGCCTCAGCCACAGCCCGCCCTCTGCGCGCAGGATCACCTCCGGCTTCCTGCGCGGCTCGGCGGCGTCGGGCAGGACGCGGAAGCGCAGCAGAGTCAACGCCAGCACCACCTTCATCTCGGCCATGGCGAAGGTCTGCCCGATGCAGTTCCTGCGGGCGGGGAGGGGAGGGACCGTGACAGCGCCCGGCCCATCCAGCCCCGTCGTTCCGAACCTGGCCCGGGACCCCACCCCACCCTGGTCAGCTCCAGGGACAGCGAGGGGGCTAATCGTGCCTGGACCCCAATTGGGCATGTGTGTCCCCCAGCAGCGCTCAACTCAGATCAGGCGTGATGAATGGCGGGCTCAGAGCCCATCGCGGACCCCTCTTTCCCCTACCCAGCCCTCGGGCTCCACACCTTCCCGCATGACCCGTACAGGAGCCGCTGGAAACTGACCCAGACCTCCGACCGTCCACAACTTCGGTTGATGCCCCTGCCGTGCTACCCAAATCCCAGCCCCATCAGCCCATCCCCAGCTCAGACACCCGCTGCACCCACCTGGGCCCCGCGGAGAAAGGAATAAAGGCCAGAGGTGACCTGTCCTTGATGTTTTCTGGGTCAAAGCGGAAGGGGTCATAGACCTGGAGAGAGACCAAGCCGCAGCTGCTGTGTGGGGTCTCCCAGCACAGCCAGGGAGAGACAGACGCGCCTGTGGCAGAGGCGGGTGATGTCTGATTTCCCAGGTCAGCACCATATCCCCTTCTCTAAGACCCCTGTACAGGATGGGAAAGCAGCACCTCGGGGTCCGGCCACACAGCGGGGTTGTGATGGAGCCCGAAAATACTGATGAAGCAAATAACACCTGTGGAGAGGAAGGTACCGTAAGGACAAGGACCCACGGCCCGATGGACCCTGATTCTTGCCCAGGAACCACCCCCGGTGGCACCTTTGGGGATGACCCGGCCGTCGGGGAGCGCAACGTCCTGGGTGCAGCAGCGGGAGATGCCGGTGACTGGAGGGTGCAGCCGCAGACTCTCCTTGAGGCACATGGTCAGGAAGGGCAGCTGGGCCAGGTCCTCCCTAAAGAAGTCCCCAAACCACAGTTATCCAGGGCCAAAAGCAGACCACCAGTCCTGTGTTGCCCAGTGAAACCTGTATCCCTGGAATAATATAAGGCCCAGAGGGATCCGATATTTGAGAATTAGAAAAGCAAAAAACCACAGAAGTGTCCTGGGACTGTCCTGACCTAGGACTGTTTCCCCTGCCCCAAGCTGGAAGGCAGAACGCTGAGCCAGGTCCTCCCCAGGTCTCTGTGGCGTAGAATGGGTCTGGGCACAACAGTGAGTGTTGAGGCAGAGGGGGTGTTTGCGGGATGGATGAAGGATGCAGGTGCTCAGGACAACAGGTAGACAGCTTTTACCCAGCAGTCTTTTATGAACTGCTGGTCTAACACTAGGGGAGGAGTTAGAGCATAGGCGAAGAATACATGTTCAAGGAGGGGAGGTGTTTGAAAATGCTATTTTAGAGGAAAAAAAGAGTGGAAGAGGATTTCATTTACTGAACAAGTGCAAGGTGGCATCCTCCGCCCTTACTCGTTATCACATTGTCAATAATTCTCTCAACAGCCCAGATCTTTCTGTCCCAAAAGCTTACAATCTCTCCCTTGCCAGTCAGGCTGCAGAACGGAGTCTGCCTCTGGAGTCAGTTCATATACCCACTGGGCAGCAATGGCAGAATGAAGACATCATTGTCTACCTTCGCCAGCCGGAGAGCAGAGCCAGGAGAGGGGCTCAGGGACAGGCAAAGACAAAGATATAATATAGGAATTGACAGAGGTCAAACATGAGATTTCCCTTGCTAATCCATCTAGGACTTGCCACTGATCTTGGTTCCTATTCCCACTAGGCGATAATGGCAGAATCGGTGAAACATTTTCCCCCATCCCCAGAGAGCAAAGCCATGAGAGGGAGCCTGACTCACCATTCAATCTCTTCGGGCTCACGCCCCCTCAGGAGCTCTCGCACCTCCTGCCGGCAGCGCTCCTGGTATTCCGGGTGCCTCGCCAGGTTGTACAGGACCCAGGAGAGGCCACTGGCCGTGGTGTCATGGCCTGAGCAACGGCAGGGCAGCCTTGGGTCTCTGAGCTGCTTTAGCACCAATCACAGTGTGGACAGCGCCCGTCCCCTGAGACCCCGGGGAGGAAGCGGTTGTGGGAAGCATGGACAGATCCACGGTCGACCGACCACATCCCTCAGATGGAGAGACCGTGCACAGTCTGGACTTCCACACTGGAGCCCTCACCTCCAAACATGAAGGTGTCAGCCTCTGCTCGTATGTCCTCATCTGACAGCTCCTTTCCATCTTCATCCTGGAGAGAAGGCAAGAACCTCTGAATCACACCAGCTCTCAGGATCCTGAGCATCACCTAAGGCAACCTCAGCTCTTCCATCCAGTGACACAAGCTTACTCCCACACCTCCACTTCTCTCGGCTGACATCTTCAAAGTCCCCACCCCACCTGCATTCCCCCTAGCTCCCTGCCTGCTATTCTGTCCTTCATTGGCATAATCAATGACTTTTGAATGTTTTAATGCTTCCTCAGGTTGAGGGGCTTCTGATAACAGGTACTGGTAAAACATAAATCCTGACCTAATTGCAACCATCTTATCTAGTACAGATATACCTATTCTGTTCTCTGCCACTGAACTTGGCTAAACTGAAGGATTTGTTATCAAACTAAAACTTCGTGAATGTTCTAAAAACCACCTTGTTACATGCAGCCATGCTCACCACAAGCACCCATTACCCAATGTACCATGGCCTTCAGTTATGCTTATCTTAGTTTCTATAACTCCCTACTTGCTACCCTATAAAAAAGACAGACATATTGTAATCAGCCCAGACTTTGGAGACTGTTCCTCTGGGTCCAGCAGTGTTCAATAAAGTTTCCTTTCTTCTCCTGAGCTCCTGGCTTCTGTAGACTCAATTTTCCCACAGCATTGCTTACAGGATAATTGAATGGCAATTTATCTTGAAAGAGATTAAGCATGACTCCAAAGACATTTGCTCATATGCTGGATGATAAGTCCAGAGAATCTTGTTTTATCTTAACTGGGGTCACCTCTACTGGTTTACAGGTATATTGGCTTTACCTTTGCACTAGAAAGAACTTGTTTATAATTCCAGAACAAAGTTCATCCTCCATCTCCCGCTCCTCCTCCACATCTCTTTACCTCTTCCTAGGGGAAAGGAGAGGCAGATATACCCGCTGTTCTACATAAGCTCTAAGAGTCATAATGTGCCAGCCTTTCTTCTGGGATGTAAACCCTGCTATACATACAGGTAAAAATATTTCATGTCCCAGGGAGGGAGGGCTGGGAAATGAAACCATTAGGACAGTCCTCCTCTGTCTGTTGTTATTGCTGTGAGTGATAAATGATCTGGCTGATCAAGGAGTTTGGTGTCAAGATAAATGTATATATAGATATAGACACTGGCATAAATACAGACATGGATGTAATCACGGCTCCCTAACTGACTTGTCAATAGGCTCTTCACAGTTGCAGATTTAACACTGTCTTGCTCACTGCATTCCAAACTTATCTCTAACATCTACCTCTCTGAATTGTCCCACCCAAAACGCCCACAAGGAGTCCCCAGTGCTTTGTGCAACAAGCTTGCATTATTTGATCTGACATTTGACACTGAGGTTGATTCTACCTCTTGAAACGCCCACCTTGCTCAGCAGAAGCACGTCGATGAAATCCAGAGTTTTGGACTTGGCCTTGGCCTTGAAGAAATCATCCACACGCTGACTGGGGAGGGTGCGCCGCCGCTCCTGGATGACAGCATCTGTGAAGTCATGCACCAGGCGGCAGGCCTCACGGAATCTCTTTCCATCAGGGGTGAGATGGTACAGGAAATCCACGTGCAGAAGGACCTGCTCGCTTCTTCTTGTCACAAAGGTACTGAGCAACAAGATGGTGGCAATATATTTGCTGGGCTTCCTGCAGAATGAGGATATAAAGAGAGGGAACAGCTTTATATACCTGAAGGTCTATGAAGAGCTCTTCTTATCCACAGGTGGGAGATACTTCCCAAGAGAAAATTGAGAATCCAGAACCAGATGTCCTCACTGGTACATGGTAGGGATGAGCCATGATACTCAACTCTCCACAATCTCTTCTTTGCCTGCACCCCAGCTCCTAGGGGCCCCGGGGATATTGTCCTCTTCTCCTTTCTTTTCTACCCAGTATCCAGTCTTCCCTCTCTTTCCAAAAACTGTCCATATATCCCAGATTTCACTCTCTTCCACTGGTCCACGGCCCCTCCACCTCTCTGACCTTCACTGTCAGTGCCATCCAGTGTCTATGTGGTGGTCAGTGTTCCACAGAGCTCAACTCTGGTCATGCCCATCGCTGACTCTGCTATTGTTGCTCCCCCAAGGTCAATTGTTAAAGGCTTGGCCTCCAGCCTGTGGTATAACTGGGAGGTAGTGGGACCTTTATATAGTGAAAGAAGTTAGGTGATTGGATGTTGCTGTAGGAAAGGACATTAGGAATCCACTCATTCTTTCTCTCTTTCATTCCCAGGACCCATGAAGGAACAACCTCCTCCAAAACACACTCCCAGTATGACATATGGCTCCACCCAAGCCCAATGGTAACATAGCAAACCAAAAGTTGATGAAAGTCTATGAAACTAAACCAAAGTAATCCTTTTTTCCATTTCACTATCTTAGGTATTTTGTCACAGTAAGAAAACCTCACCAACATAAGTTCAAACATCTTCGGTGATTCACTGAAACATCAGGCAAAGTTCACACCCCTTTGATGTGTTATTTTGATGTCCGTAGGATCTAGCCCCTGCCTGCCCCTCCTGTCTCATTTCCAGGTGCCTCATCACTGCCTGTTGCAAGGGATCTCCAATTCAAGCCCACTTGCTTTTACTAAAACAATTTCACTTACATGGAAAAGCCACTCTTCCTCTCCTTCCCCCTTTCTTACCCTTTAGTGACCAGGACAAGGGCCAACTCCTGACCCACTCCTCTACGTAGGCTCCTCTGGACAGTCCTCCCTCCCCACCTCCTCCCTTGGCTCCATGGCTCAGGGTCCCAGCCCAGGGAAAGGACTCACTCCTGACAGTTGCTGTCAAAGCTGAACACGCATTTCTGCAGGCTGTCCAGGGTCATCAGGCTGATGTGCTCAAACATGTCCAGACAGGTGCTGCCCTGGGAGACCAGGCGCTGCCATTTGGCCTGGCCAGAGAAGCGGACAGAGATGGGAGTGGGCCTTGGCTTCCCTGAGCCCTCCCCAACTCCAACCGCCAGGATGGAGTCCCCAGAACCAGCCTGCAGTTCTTGGCCCCAGACCGCTGACCCCCGGGAGGACCAGGTTTGGATGGGAACAGCAGCTGTTACAGTTAGGAGAGGAAGACTCAAGCCTGGGAGTCAGTGCCCTGAGTTTAGGTTCCAAATCGACCTCCATCCTCTCTGCACCCTCTGTCAACTCCTTGCCCCGCTCCCTGGGTCCCATCTGTGGAATCTCTGCAGCAGTTAGGTTCACTTGCCTTGATATACAATAAATAAGGAAGGAACACCTAACACATCATTCCTAACTCACTTCTAGCTGGTCAAACACAGTCAAGCTCCCTAAATCTCTCTGACCCTTAGATTTATGTGTAAAAGGGCAAAGATAACCTCTACCTCATGTGTTTGTGAAAAAATAATTTTTTGAGACAAGGTCTCACTATAAAGCCCAGGCTGGCCTCAGATTCACAGCAATCCTCCTGCCTCAGCTTCCCGAGTGGTGGGATTACAGGCATGTGTGACCCTGCCAGGCTGTGCAATTTAAATTGGACAGCAAACATTGTCAGATTGCATCATTTCTGACATATAATGAGTACTTAATTAATGTTGGCATTCTTTATCATCAGTGTTATAAACTGACTTCAAAATGGCTTATATTTGGAGAGGCAGTCCCTCACAGGCCCTAGGTATCCTTGCTGGGTTTACCAAAAGTGCACTCCTCTGATGTTCTTAACCTGGCTGGCTTCTCAGAGTTGTGTTTGCAGAGAACAACATCCAGGAATGAGACACTGAGAACCTCTGACAAATATCAGCCTTGCTTCAGCTACCTACAGCAGAAGGCTACCTATGTCAAAGCTCCTGACCTGTGATGCAATATACACTTGAGTGGCATATATTGAAGCCCACTTGTGTCAGCCCCACGGGACTTGGGTAGCTTGGAAAAAGGAAGAAAACTAACAAGAAGCACTTGCTGCTTGCTGCATCATGAGTAATCAACTCTTCTTTGTCTCTGATCCCAGAATCTTGTGTCTTCTGGGACAACTCATGAAATAGTAAGAAGCTAACTTCTCTACTGAAGCTAAGCAAAAGGACTTCACAAAACCCTTGCCCCAGTTTATTTCTGCACCCACACCCTGTGCAATGTTATTTTTCAGCAACTTCTGTTAAGAGGTGGATCCTATCTTCTTATTTTTTATTCTGGGCTAGACTTCTGACTTTGGCCAAACAGATGACACCCTGTCTTTGCCAAATAAACAACCCCACATGCTTTCTGAAGGGAGAGAACCATGCAAGAGAGCCCAGTTGTCCCAGCTGAGGCCATTCTGAATCAGCCTGAAGTTAGTCAAGCCCAAAATATGGGAAAGAACTGACCCGTGATCAACAAAGTTCCCCACCTGATCCACAGCTGATCATAAACCACCAGTGATTCCATCACCATCCAGAAAACATAGCTTACCGACGTACACATTTACTAGCAATCCTAAACCCTTGCTGCTTTAAACTGATGAGTTTGGAAGTGGCTTGTGGCTCAGCAATAGAGTCTATGCAGTTTTCTTCCTCCCCATGCTCAGTTTGCAAGTCTCCTTCTGTGAGAGATACCTGTAAACTAACTCCTTCTGAGAATTACCATGTGCCAGGGACGTGACTCCATTATGTCCTCAAACCCACAGCTGTCATAGGATTTTTTATCCCCATTTTACAGAGGGGGGAACCAAAACTGAGAGAGAAAGACCAGTGGTCTCAAAGTACTCCTTCCAGAGCCCTTCACCCTTCACGCTCCAGCGGGGACCCTGGGCTCTAGGACTCACATGCATGACATTTGTGCTGTCATTGAAAATCTTCACATAGGGCTTCAGGATGTTGAAATGGAAGGCGGGTGTCAGCATGCGACGGTGGCGGCTCCACTTGTCACCAGCACTCACCAAGAGCCCATCCCCTAGTGGGCAGCCATGGGCAGTGGGCAAAGGAGATCCTTCCCCTGGTTCCCAGGTTGTCCCCAAGCCCCTTCACCTGCAGGTACTCACCCAGCCAGGGTCTCAGGAATCTGTAGAAGACCATGTCCTTGGGTGCAACCGCAGCTGACGTGAAGGCAACCATCAGGGGCCATGGGCAGGGTGGAGCCTCCCAGCCAAGGCTCTGCACTTCCCCCGAGCCCAAGCAGGAAAGAACAGGAGCCAAGGACAGGAAACAGGCAGGAGGCAGAAGGACAGGAGAGATGAACTAGGCAGAAGTAGCGGGGTAGAGAAAAACAAAATCTAACATGACACAACACACCTTGACATGGCTCCCACGTGATCTAACACCTTCTGTCATGCCCATGAACAGCAAAACACTCTACAGAGATTCTCACAGAGACTTAGGACGTCCTGTCTATCTTGAAATCTTTGACATAGACCTAGGACATGTGACATGTATCCTGATATGACCACAACATACATGACAACCATGGCATGATACAGTGTGCTCTGATATGGACGAGAGATGGTCTGGCATGACCTCTATGAACCCCACAGACAGTCCACAGGCAAGATTTACATGTGGTTCCATTAATATTCCAGATGTGTCTCGATAGGGCCTCAGACAGTACATGGATATATTTAAAGACCTGTCTTAGACAAGATTGAGGTCACAGTCATTTCTTAGAGGCACTCTGGTCCTAATCTCAGACAAGCCCCAAGTATAGACCAAATACGACAGCAAGACAAAAGGACAATCTCAGATAGCTCTGACAGGAACCAGGCAAGCCCCTACGTGCCCCAAGTGTCTTTGGCCTGGAGTCACAGATGTGACCGTCTGTAGAAGATGACAGGTGTTAAACAAGTGTGACGAGATGTAACAGACACCAGGAGAAATCAGGTTCCAGGCTTAAGTGTGACTATGACAAAATAGGCTTAAATTGAATATGACAAGATTGCCACACAGGATATGTCATACCGATGAGCTCCAGGCCCAAGCAGACAGAGCCAGCAATCAGACAGCTGGGGTCCAGGTGAGGCAGAGGTCAGATGACCACGGCCACAGTCAATTACCCTGCCCCACCCAGCCTGTCCAAGGAGGGCAAGGGCAGAGGGCAGGGGAAGGGAGCCAGACAGGGATGGAGCTTCCTCAGGAGCATTCCTGGGGCCTGGAGAAGGGCTATAATCACCTGGTAGATAACTGACAGGTTGGGGTAGAAGGAAACAGCCCAGCAGAATCGGGTGTCATGGAAACCACAGCCCAGATCCCACACCAGCCACAAACCCTCCCATTGCTCCGGGCCCGAAGACGGGCAAAGCTGATGCCAGACATGGCAGAAGGCCTGGGATGCGGCCGATGTCCCCTCCATCACTTGCCTCTCGTTTAAACCTTCCCGCTAGTCATTACAGACCTGCTCTGGGCAGCCCCTGCTCTAGGGACCTTGCTTCTCCACTGAGCTGTCACGGACCCATCCCTCTCTGGTCCGTTCCTGACCACACGAGGTGGGTTGTCTCTGTCTCCTCCAGATGAGCAGATCCTCCGGTACAAGGCCTTCAGTGAGGCACCGAACGCAGAACACCAGGACCGCAGTGCGTGCAGTGGGTGGCAGGAAAGGAAGGAGAGTGGAGCGGGGACAAGCGAACACATGAAAAAAAGGGGGAAGCTGAGAGAGAGGAGGCAAGGAGGGACCAAGGTGCTGCAGGGGCCACACAGAAGCACGGGGCAGAGGGGAGGGAAGTCCAGCCATGAAGTCCTTGTGAGTACCTGAGGCGCTGAGGACAGATCGGGCCGTGTCAGGGTGGCACAGAATGATGAAGGGGAGGAAGGGGCCTATCCACGTCACAAAGCCCTGGGGGTAGGTGGCCACCAGCTCAGCCACTTTCTTCATACCCTGCTCCGTGGCAGTGACCTGCAAACACATGTTCACCTCCTGAGATTACATTATGGTTCTGTGATGCTGTTTCCACAACAGATTCACCATCCACAGTGCGGGTGGCACCATCCAATCCACTGAGGGGCCGGAGAGAACAAAAAGACAGAGGTAAAGCAATTGCACTCCTTCTTCTCAAGCTGGGACATCCATCTGCTCCTGCCCTTGGACATTAGAGCTCCAGAATCCAGCCTCCAGGCTCCAGGGCTTACACCAGCAGCCCCAATCAGGCTGTCTTCATTACTTATCTCTCGTTGCTGGAACAAAATATCTGACACCCAAAATTCAGGAAGGAAAGGTTTATTTATCTCACAGTTTGTGGAGGTTTTAGTCTATAATCAGCTGGCTGCAAGGCGGGGTGGAATGGTACAGGGGCAGAAGTCTAAGGCGGCAGAGGACAGCAAAAGCAGCAAGAGCACAGAAAGCAGGGGAACAAGCCTCTTTTCCTCCCTTATATTGTAAGCAGACTACCCCCCCCAGGCGGGGTGTAGTGCTCACGTAATCTCCATGCCCTCCTCCTGCACAGGCTCAGGATGTTTACAAAGTAAGGACCTGGCCCCCTCGTTCTGTCACTTCGTTCACCTTCTAAACTTCTCAAGTTGACACAGTAAACAGCATCCTACTGCGGTAAGGGCGCGTCCTTTCCGCACCAGGAGGTAGAATTGCTGAGTCACTTAGTTAAGCTTTTAGGTGACACGATGTATCAACCATAACATCCACCAGGTCCTGCGACCTCTGGACTCAGCTAGCATTAATCACACCATCAGCTTCTCTGCTTCTCTCACTTGCAGATATCAAATCTGGGGCTTATCTCCAGAACTACATGAACTGATTCCCGTAGTAAAGCAATAACTCTCCCAAAGTGCGTGCTTGTACACCTGTATAAATCATTGGCTGTACTTGCACTCACACACCGTGTAAGGGTATTTCCATCCACAGACTGCGTGTATAACGGTGACCCCATAGGATTACAGTGCACCTGGAAATTTCCATTGCCAAAAAATTTTACTGCACCTTTCCCATTATAAAATACACTTAGAAATGTACATAGTCACCACTGTGTTACAGGGACCCACCCGGCTCAGAACAGTCACGGATGTACAGGTCTGCATGCCAGGAGCAACAGGTGGCACCTCTCGGACGAGGTGGTGTGGAAGACACCCTCAGGGGTATGGAAGACACACACTGTGACGCTGGCCTGGGGACAAAACCCACTCATAATGAATTTCCCAGGACTTGCTCCCACTGTTAAGTGAGGCATGACTTCTGCATGCATTAGCATGTGCACACATGTATATGTGCACACACGCATGCACACATGCACGTGCAGCCCCTGTTGATCCTCTTTCTCTGGAGAACCCTGAATAATAACCCATCCCAGCAGCTCAGCAGCAGCCGCCTCCTCCAGGCTGTGGAGGTGAAGCAGACCCTGCAGGGAACATTTACCTGGATCGTGAAGCGTGGAGTGCTTCTCTGCACCCCTCCCTGGGCCATCTCCCACTCCCAAAGGTGTATCCCACAGCAGATGGAGATGTCCCACAGACTGCCCACAGAGATGCCCACTTGGCCACAGAAGGTGGCTTTTCTTGTTCTGGGACTGGCTCCAACGCCAAGAGGAAATGTCCAGGAGAGGTAGCTTGTGCGCAACAGTGTGTCCTAAGGACTTGTCCCTAGGGCTGGCTCCACATACAGGCTCCAGTCCTTCTCATGGGGAAGGGTCTCCATATCAGGGATCCTCCAGACCCCAGGGGAGCAGACCTCTAAGTCCCCATCAGAGTGGCAGCTCCCTCCCACTGCCCACCAGGCTCTGACGCAAAGCCCCCTGTGCAAGATTTCACTGGAGCTGTGTAGGGAGCAGCTGAAGCTGGGAATTGGTCACACATATGGGGTCAAGACAAGGCCAAAGTGCCTAAAGCAATCAAGCTACCTCACTCCTGAGGAAAGCATCTTGCCTGAGACAATTCCAGTCATTAGTCACTAGGCAACCCTGTGTACCTGATGCTAACTTTGTCAAAAGTATAAATAAACACCCCTATGGGGGTTGGTGAGGTCCTCTTTTCTTATCAGGAGAGAGAGCTCCACCTGACCTCAGCTTTCATCTCTTGTATATATTTCTTCATCTTCTCGCCTCCCTCCCCCCCTCCAAGACCACTGAGAGCAACTTGGTTTGTGGCAAAGCTGGGCGCAGGCCCATCAGCTGTGCCCTTTGCAGGGGGAAGCAAGGGAAGCCACGTCACCCAGAAGGGTAAGCAGATCTATGTAAAAGGTCAAGGTGTGGAACTGAGGGTGGAGTCAAGGAAGGCTTCTAATAGGCGACGTGAGCAGCCATCTTTGATCCAGGTTGCAAAACAGAGTCCACTGGTACATAATGAGAGGAATAACAACATAACAGGAAGTTCTCCCGTGAAAGAGCAGGGAGTCGGCCTGTACCTCTTTTCTGCCTCAGCTGTGGCCCTGTGTTGGGAGGGGGGAGAATCAATGCTCATTCCTGTGAGCAACCAGAAATCCCAAGATGAGCTGACAGAGAGACTGGGTCCAGCCTGAGAGCAGACCCTGGACAGTACCCTCTGGAGGCCTCAAGATAGCCCACCCAGGGAGCCCCTGACAAGTGCAGGATGAGTGTGTCTGTGGAAAAATGTGTGAGTCACCTTCTGTGTCAACAGAAAAATGACTGAGTCATCTCCTTGGCTTCTCTACTGCCCTAGGCCAAGGCCTCCTAATCCTAGATAGCTAATCCCCATCCCAAACCCTCAGCAATCCATCCACCCTGATGTCCCAGGCCCCCTGCTGCCACACTCACCATGCCCAGGTGACCCAGGAGCCAGCTCTGTTTGGAGGGCTGAGGGAAACACCAGAGACGACGAGAGTTTTTATAGAAGGTGTAGGTCCAGGCCAGAATTCGAGACAGGAGCCAAGAGGCCCCGATAAGCATCAGGAGCAACCAGGGGGAGGCTGCCCCTGGCCCCAGACCCAGCCAGGACACACTCAGCTGTGTCATCCTGTAGGGAAGAGGAGACAGGTGAAGGGTTTCTGAGTCCCAGAAAGGAGACTGGGGACTCCAGGGACAATGGAGAGGGGCAGAAACTTAGAGAGTAACAGGGAGGTGGAGGGACACTGGGGACAATCCAGGGGAAGAAGTCAGAGCAGGGAGACGTGGAGGAAGAGGAGGGTGAGAAAAGATGGGGAGGAGGAGGAGGAAAAGGAAGAGGAGGAGAAAATGAAAGAGAAGGAGGGGGGAGAGAGGAGGGAGGAAGGGGGAGGAGAAGGGGAGGAGGAGGGAGAGGAGGAAGGAGACAGAGGCTGACCAGAGTCCAGACATGGCTGAACCATAGACAGTTGCCCAAGAGCTGTTACCCAGAAACCTCCAGTCTCTGGGGCCATTAAGTTCCTGGAACCGTCCCAGCCTTGGCCAGCACCCTCTCCATCCCAAAGAGGACCCTCCAGCCCCACCTCGAGAAGCCTGGCACCTTCTGCCAAAAGCAGGTTTTCCCTATAGCTTCCTCTGGCCTCCTGGGAGAACAGGAGTAGGCTACACAGGTCGAGTTCTTCTTTGTCCCTGGGTCCTGTCGTGAGCCTAGATCAGCCCACTGCACCCCACCCCACACCCAGCTGCTTCCTGCCTTCCTGGGCAGGCGGCCAAGTCATGTGAATAGGGCCAGCTGTATACAGAAGGAAGCAAATCTGAGCTGCACGGGGTGAGCGCCGGATCCTTATACTTGGGGGGCAGACAAAGGCCAGGGTGCGGCAGATAGAAAGCAGACAGCAGGGTTCGGGCTCCAGGAGACCAGGGCCAGCTCAGGTCTTATCCCGGAACATCTCCCGGCTTCTCTTCACGTGCAGGCGGGAGGACAGCACGCACCGCTCACCATTTCTCAGCGCAGAACTAGGAAGCTCGGAGATGGAAGCCTCGGGCTCCCTAGCTGCACAGCCTGGAAAGAGTTCAAGTCCTGCCTCTAAGCAGCGCAGGGTGTGGGTTGAGACACAACTTTCAAGGACAGGAACGAAGAATCCAGCCCCACCCGGGCATCACCAGGGTCAGATTCCAGAGAAAAAAAGCCCACCGGGAAGAGCACATCTGGCACATCTGGAACCTGGGCTGTGCTGGTGGCAGGAGGAGGAAGGGAGGAGGGTGTACGAGGGAGTAAGAGCAAAAGGGGCCTCTGTGACAGTGTCCAGCAGGGGGCGCAGTGGAGCCCACGTTCTGCCTGCCTCTGACTGCGAACAGGCCAGCCTTCCTGGGCTGTCTTCCCTCCGGAAAGTGGGATGTCACATGACGTCCTTATTGGGGTACAGCGAGAGGAGCCTCCAAAAGGGAATGAAGAAATGGGCTGGCAACGACTACTTCGGCTGCTGGAAGCCAGGGCTGCACTCTGTGCAAAAGACTATGGGTGAGGTACTTCTCCGGTGTGCTGGGTACTCGGCACAAAGCTCACCTACTGTGGCAGGTGCTCTGCATAGCTGCTTTGGGTCACAAGCTCACCAGCATCACAGTACCCAAGGCTCCCCACTTCTCTCTCCTGGGAGCGCTGGAGACTCAGAGAGGGAAGCCTGTACCCTGAAATGTAGAGCTCCAAGGAACCCAGGTCTTTCAGACCCTCAGACCCCAAACTCTGGCTCTGACATTCTGCTTCAAATCCATTTTCTGAGAAAATGCCTGTGGATCTAAGAACACTTATAACGGTGAAACCTTAAGCAATGTGGTAGCCCCAGAGGAGAAACACCTTAGGCCCTTTCTACCTGGCTTCTCCTCCACACCAGGATGCTCCACCCAACAGATCTTGTGCTCCTTTCTGTCCGTCCCTGGATTCTGTCCAGAATTACCCTCTGGGGACAGCTCAGATGAGGGACAGATTGAAGGCTCAGCTCCTAGTAGGTCTGCTGAGGAGGAAGCTGGGGGCGACATGGCTTTCCTGGTATTAGTAGTGTGTTAGTGAGATCCTAACCCTCCCTCTACTGCCCCACTATCCCTTCCAACTCCATGGCCTGAGATTTAGGAGCTGGTCCTAGAGCCTCAGTAGAGTGGTGTGTACCATCCTCAGAATCCTCGTACCACTTCAGGACAGAGGTTACCTGCTGGTGGGGCCAGCTATATCAAGGTCATGGGCAATGTCAGAGTTTGATAAACCAGGCTTATTCCTGGCAACTTCAGCCAAGCTCACTGCAAGACCTACTGTGTGGTGGGAGAGTCAGGCAGCCTAGAGTAAGTGGATTATTCACTACCATGATGTGCCTATTTCAGTCACTGACCCAATTTTTTTTTTGTCTTTGTCAAACAGGATTTCACTATGCAGTTCAGGCTGGCCTTGAGCTCACTTTGTAGCCCAGGCTGGTCTTGAACTAGCAACGATCCTCCTGCCTCAGCCTCCCAAGTGCTGGGATTACAGGCATGCACCACCATGCCTGGCTTGACCTAATTTTTTGTCAGTGACCCAATTTTAAGTCACTTAAGTATATAGGCTTTTTTCCTCCTCTTTTTGTGGATGAGAGTAAGAGAAGATTTCAACTGCAAGTTGTTTCTTTGGGAGCAGGTTCTAGGAAGCACCAATATTACAGTGGGGAGGTGACATGTGAGGAAAAGGCAAAAGTTAAAAGGAGCTCGATGAAGGGAATTTCTGAGGCTCAGACCTGCTGGGGAGCTCTGGGACACAGACGGGACAGGCCCTGCACCTCAGATCACGCCGCCCAGAGTGAGGCAGCTGGCCTGTGTGTCCACCGATTGCCCCTCGCCAATATGCAGGGCTGCTTCTAAAGGACTATTTTTCCTGCCTGCTCTGCCAAGGTCAGGCCTCGGGTCATGGACAGGAGCTCTGCAACCCAGAATAAATAGTAACAACCTCTCAGAGATTCCAACAAACACATATGCACACATGCTTGGACATGCACAATGTGTAAATACAGACACACACACATACACATGGTCCTCACAATGGACACAACTGCAACGTGTTCACATGCATACAAACATGGGCCAACACGTATATACATAACAGCTGCATGTATATATAACACACAGTCACCCGTAAACCTACACCGCACCGACTCAGTCTCTCAAGGTGTAACTGAACTGATGAAGGCCAGGTTCTTTAGAGCCTGTTATCCCCATATTTTCCAGCAGAGGGCGCAGCCTCCACACTCAGGAGCAGAACAGGCCCACACAGCAGTCAAAGGGAGAACTAGGCCTGTTTGTGCTGTGAGAATCGCATAAGCAGATGTAGCAGCAGCGTCCTGGGGACCTGCAGACCACCACTTCCCGCTCTCTCCATCCGCTCACCGTCACGGTCCTTCGAGGGATCTCAAAGCCTATCTGGAATGAGAAAGGAGACATTTAACATCCCAAGTGCACGTTAGTCTTTGAAAGCCCTATTCTCATAGGAAAACATTACATATTTTTAAAAAGAACAGGAAGTATGTGTAATAGAAAATTAACAATAATTCTTTAATATTTGGGGACTATGAGTGACTTCTTTTGCTTACTTTTTTCTGGGGGAGAGGTTGGTTTTCGTTTTTTGAGACAGGGTCTCACTGTGTCGCCCAGGCCGTTCTTGAACTCACTGTGATCCTCCTGCCTCAGCCTCCCAAGGATTACAGACATGCACCGCTGTACCCAGCGACTTTTGTTTACTTGTACTTTCTTCTATGAATATGCCTAAAATAAGAAAGGCATTTGAATGAAGAATTTTTAAAAACATACATGACTTTCCACTCGGAGCATACCATGTATTTTTTCTTCTCATTTTATATCTAGTAATCATCTCAGGTCCCCAGTCTGTAGCTCCTGAAAGCTGTCAGCCCTTGACTTCTACCCTCCTGCCAGAAAAGGCCAAGCCCAAGGGAGCCCCTGTCAACAGCGTCCTTGGAAGGAAAAAAGAAGGGGACCATGAGGGACTAAGACAGAGCGGGGCCTGTCTTAGCGGGGCCTGACAGTGTGCAGGCAGGGGAGGCAGGGCCAGGCACACTGAGTGGAGTCCACATTCTGCCTCTGTCTCTGACTGCACCCCGGGTAACCTCGCTCCCACCCTCTCGCTGGCCCCTCACGTACCAGGAGAATGAAGGCCTGGTGACATCTCTCTGGGAAAAGAAAAAGGGTTTTTTTTCTCAGTCCTAATCTTCAGGCTAAAATTGGACCAGGTTGTAATTTCCCAGGTGTAACTATATCATCTGCAGCTGTTGAATTGTTATTTCCTGGTTCCTTGTTATTTTTAAGAGATCTTTCCTTCGTGCTGCAATGCTGTCTTCAAGGTTTGAAAGTCTATCTTCAGTTTTTGTTCAAGTAGTTTGGCCAGCTTTCAAGGAAATCTTTAATTTCCTGGATATCTCTTTGAATCCATTTCATGCATTCAAATTCTTTCCTATATTGTTCATTCAAGGCTTCCATCATGTTTTTCTTTCTTTTTTTTTTTTTTTTTTTTTTTTTTTTTTTTTTTTTTTTTTTTTGAGACAGGGTCTCGCTATGCAGTTCAGGCTGGCCTTGAGCTCACTTTGTAGCCCAGGCTGGCCTCGAACTCACAACAATCCTCCCGCCTCAGCCTCCCAAATGCTGGCACCACACTTATAGGCGTGCACCACCACACTTGGCCCCCATCATTTTTCTACGCTCCTCTATTTTTTGTCTATGTCTTCTTTAGATATGCCGAGCAATTCTTTCATTATGGTTGTCTTCTTTTTTTACCTGAGGGATTATTTCTGATCTGATTTCTTCTATAGCCTGATGGAGTTGTTTCTCTGATTTAGCTGCTATTATTTCAGAAATTTCAGGTGTGTAACTTCTAAGTTCTTCTATGTTGGTGTCTCCACCAACATTGTTCTGGGTGGGCTGAGATTGCATTTTGCTCCTTTGTTTTGACTTTTTCCATTTCAAAAAAAAATTTTTTTTTTGTTTTCTATGGTGATCCTTGTAAGTTTGGTAGTAGATAGCTATATCACTAATATCAAGGCCTCTCCAGGAATAGTCTGTACTTCAGGGATATCATCTGTGGGTAGGAGATTCTTGGTTTGTGTCTGTCCCAAGAGCCTACCTTCCCAGTTAATTGAGAGTGAGATGTCCATTTCTGTTTAGTTCAGTCCCCAGTCTTTTGGTGAGGGGCTGTGGTGAGGTTATTACCCTAGAGCTTCCCAGTATAGTTACACAAGGGATAGCAACTGATTACAACAGATATGACATCTTAGCTACAGTAGTACAATTAGTAATAAGCGCAATTTAGAAGCAGGGGCTGGGGATTTAGCTCAGCAGCACAGAGCCTGCCTGGCAAGTGCAAGGTCGTGAGTTCAATTCCCAGTACCAGAAAAAAACAAACAAACAAAAAAGAAGCTGACCAACTGCGGTTAACTATTTTTTTTTTTTTTGGTTAACTATTGATTTTGTACTTTAGACCATAGGAGCAGAGCCTATAGTTGTATAACAGAACCAATGGTAAATTAGGAATTTGTATGCAAAGTGTTTCCCCTTGTTAGAGTGGATTTGCCCTGGGTTCCTCTGGACAAGATGGTTGCCCTCCCGAGCTCTTCCCACGCTGGCTGCCAGGCCCGCAGTGTAGGAGTATGGGCCCGGCACCAGGGTTGCTCCAGACTGAGGCTCCCTGGATGGCAGAGAGGCGGTAGG